GAGCAGCGTTGGTGGGAGATACCTGGTTGGGGAAAACCCAGCTAACCGACGTAGATCGGCGCCGAATCTCTCCATCTAGCGGGGGAAGATCACCGCCACCTCACGAGAGAAACACACTTAACTTTCAGGGCTAAAAACTCGAGCCATAGAGTAATGATTTATACCTCCTTAGTCTATGCTTGAGCAATTGACGATCCTGGATTCATCAGGCATCATTCATGTATATAAACTAAGATTTACCGGTACTGTTCATTGATTGGAAAGTGTTACTTTGCTGTACTCGTAAGGCAAAATAAACTTGGGCGTATGTGTACCGCAATGTATGTACTTAAACACAGTAATATTCGATGTACAGACAAATTTATGTAATGCTGCGGAAAATCAATTTCCAGATTCCTAGGAAATAAACGTTTTGGGTGTCCTGATACCGAAAGAGTGTTTTTCTCCAAATATATTAGCTTAGATCAGCCACAAAGTTTTTTGCCAGATACTTGTCATTACTTAATTTAATAAAAACACAGAATAACATAATTATTAACTTAAAAGATTTTTCATTAACTAGTTTGTATAGCGACATTTCAACAACATTAATATTTCCCTAAATCAAGGCTACAATGAATATAAGAGAAAATTATTTTTTTAAAAGATAAATAACAAGTTACTCACTTTAAAATAAATTATACAATTATAATGAAACACTAGCACATTAAAAAAATAATTTTAACATAAAATAAAAATAATCACTGCCGCCTCGCATACATATTTAGAATTAACCCAAGATTATACACTGCTTTAAATTCCCATTAATTCAAGCAATGTACCCATGCAACTCGTATGAAAGTGTCTTTGATGTACTCATTTCAATTACGACTATCTACCATTAATTGTAGTATATTAATTATATTAAAAAGAGAGATGAGATTACGGAGCTCAGAAAACATGAGGTATTATGCATCTATTCCACATGGTGCATAGAGTGCACTTATGTGAGAGGATAAATAAAAAAATAAACATTCAAACTTAATTAATAATGTAATATAACAATTTTATATTTAATACTCATAAGTTGTAACCAAACCTTTTCCTGTGAGTTTACTTTAAAAAAGTGAACTAGAAATTATCTCCTCCAAAAATTATTTTTAGAGAAAAATAAGATCTTTGTTTTTGATAAACTGCTTGTTTAACATCTACCTGAGAGACCTAAAATGAAATGCTATACAAAAGTCAAAATACTTTAAAACACCATTGCTTAACAAAGAATATCAAATAATTTCAATTTCAGGTATGGAGTTCTGATTTGAAGTTAATCAAAGAGTTCCAGGCCCATCAATCTGTAGTGTATGACATGGCAATTATTGGCAATACCTTATATACATGTTCAAATGATGGAAAAGTTCTAGCCTGGGATGTGGAAACATTTGAAAAGAAAGCCACACTGCTGGAGAGTGAAAATGAAATTTATAAATTTTATGTTGACAACGAAAAGTTGTATGCTGGAGATGACCAGGGAGTAGTGAGTATATATTGAGGCTTTCAAAGTATTACCCAATTCCAACCAAAGTCTCACCTATTAATGATTTTTCTCTTTCTTAGGTCAGGTTGTGGGAGAATGATGAATTTCTCCTGGTTTTTAATCTTGTGGAAGAAGTACGTGGTCTGGTTGTCACAGACAAACTCCTTTTCACAGTCAGAGATCGTGATGTCTGCGTAACAGAAATTGGTAAATTATTGGGCAATTGACTTATGATGAATCACTAAATTGATTAATGTATTTCTTCTGTTAGTTGAATTTTTATTTTGCAGGTGAAAAAGGTCATTATTCAACTCGCAAAACAATTGAGGGGAGCAGTCCCATATGTCTAGTGGGAAACAAAGTGTGTTTTGTATCAAGATCAGCAACAAATATTATTGTGATTGATGCCACAAAAGAAACAGGATTTAAAGAACTTAATGATTTAAAGGTAAAGTTAAAATATAAGACAACATGAACTAGCAATTAGATATTGATGAATTCTTTCCTGTGCAGGCTCATGACATGGTTATCAATGTTTTGCGCGAGGCTGGAGACTCCACTCTGTACAGTGGAAGTTATGATAAGTTTGTGAAACAATGGGATCTCAACTCTTTCAAATGCCTATCATCTTGTGATACAGGAGAATGTATAAATGCACTTGCAATTGGAAATGAAGGGCAAGTATATGCAGCAGGACCGAATGGTTTCTTGTGCCGAATTGACAACAAATAGAAAAAAATTAATGACTAAAGTCAATATAACAAGATTTGAGCTACAAAGTGAATATAAAGAGAAGGTAATGAGAATACTCTTTGATTTTCTAGTTTTGTGGCTGGAAATTAATTATAATTCAAATTCTTTGTAAGTGATGGATTAATGTTCTTTGGCTGAAACATTCTATGTATTCAGTATTACCAATTACTAAAACAACACTGAACTGAAAATTTTAATATACATTTATGTTATTTTACCAGTTTTATATCCATAATTTGTACAAACAAATTTAATGGAAGTTTCTTAATAAATTATTTTTAAAAAGTATTTCATATAAATATTTATATACATTTATATCCTCTTCCTAGTATCTAACACAGAAGAATAAAATTATAATCTATTCATCAAATATAGGTAAGTAAAACTTCTCATGAAAAATGTTCTATGAAAGTAATTTACCTTGCATTTTGATTAAGAACATAAATTTATGTACTGCTATTGATAATGTTTGTAGACATATTGAAAGTACAAGTAAATGAAAGATAAAGGAGAAACAACTATTACGGTTAATTACTACATTTTAAAAGGTGAACTGTGTAAAACTATTCTAAATTATAGACATCTTGTAGTAACAAATTTGGTTAACACAATTTAATAACTTTCAATAAATCACATCACTATGATTCAATTGTTCTGCATCACAAAATAAAACACGATTATATAGCATTGTTGGCTTTCGTGGCCAGAATAAAAGATAAATTTTCCGGGCAACTGGATCACGGCCTACCAGCCCAGAAAATTTGTTCTAAAACAGAATTAATTGATAAAATCATCCAACACATGATTCAATTTTTGTATATCACACAAAATAAATGGGATTTGTGATAAAATCATCAAACTATATTCTCTCAATGGTTCAAGATATTGCGATAGAATACTCACCAAATGATTCACAACATAAGAGGTTCAAAAGTTATCGTACCTATTAACTTTTTGATAGCTTTTTTTTTAATGATATTGGGCCAAAGTTTTTTTTACTGGAACACTATACTTTTTTTAACATTAATAGATAGGTCTTGAAAAGATAAATTTATAAATACTACACATAGTATTTAATTAATAATTAATGCCATAAAAGAGTATGAAATCTGACTTCATATGACAAGTAGGTACTGTATACTTTGATTTTTCTATGACACTAGATCATTGTTTACACCTCCTGCCTTATAAAATAAATTTTTTTAACAGTGATAAGCACATTTCTGAGACCACGAGCCCTGATTCACGAATTAGTTAAAAATATTCATTTTATAAGGTAGGAGGTACAACAATGACCTAATGTCATCAGCCACTATAAAAAAATCAAAGTACAAACTGAGGCAACTTTGCTGATTTTTTCTTCTTTGAGCTGATTTATTAACTTTTTTAATAATAATAATAATAATAATAATAATAATATTATTTTATTGAGTCACATGTACAATTTTAATTGCATATGAAACAAAAATGATGTATATGAATGGAGTACAATTGTATACATAATCATGAAGACAGAAAGTGATGTTATATTTACTGTCCAGAAGCAAAGAAGGGACCATCTCACCACTAGCTCAAAGGACCAGGGAAATGACAAAATATCTGATTGAGACGGGCTCACTGGCCTAGGAAATATATTACAATATTTGTTAGTCAGATTAAGATATTGGGTAGTACAATTGGATTAACATATGGGACAGTAGATAATTATTTTTGGTAGCAAAATAATTTAACATTTGACGATTTCTACAGTTTCGTTTTTAAAATAAAATTTACTTTGTATAATCATTTTACTACTACTTATAACAATAATAATTATAGCAATAATAAGAGTATGTGATATCAATTATAGTAATAACAACATATAGTTTAACAATGTTAATTCATTCAATGTTTCACTCTTGAAATGGTGAGGAGGAGGCAGGTTTGGCCAAGTTTTGTAATTCTACACCTTGTCCTACAATAGCACCTTAAATCAGATTGCACATATTAGTTTCTGAAGTATTCCTGAACACTTTAAAAAAGGTTTTACCCAAGGAAATTTTTGAGTTTATTTGTAAAGCTGTGTAATCCTGTTATGTCTCTCAGATGTAAATGGACTTTGTTGAATAATGTACTCTTTTGGTATAAAATGCTAGTGCACATTGATTGGTGAAGGTTATATGCTTGCCTTGTGAGTGTAAATTTGCATTAAATATGTAAGGTGCGACATTGTTTGTTAGGTTTTTCTTTAGGCAGTGGAAGTATGTTAGGTTTTTTGAACTGAGGTCAATAGGATTTTGTTTTGTATGTATTTGTTATTGTCTGGATGATTCTCTTTTGTATTATGAAGGTTAGCTGGTGCTTGGCCTCAGATTACTATTCTGTATTTGATAATGGAGTAAACTTTTGAAAAGTACACTGTTCAGACTGTTTCAAAGGCACTGTATCTTTTTATTAGTCTAAGAGCATATTTAAGTTTACTCAATTTTGAATTAATATCACATAGGTGCAAGTTCTACTTGAGGTTGGATAGTATGGTGATTCAAGAAATTTTATTTTCTGTGTTTGTGTTCTGTAATGCTGTTGCCTTCTAAAATTTAGTGAGTTGCGTTGAGTGGGAATTCTAGAAGAGCATTGTGATTGCTTTGTCTCTGTTTAGTCATAGTTAGTTTTCACACATCCATTGAATTAGTTTGTCAATGACCGAGTTGGCTTTGTCTTGTAAAGCTTTGGTTGTTCTTTCTTTGAATATTACGTGTATTGTATTAGTGTCACCAGTGATTCGTACCATTTTGTTGTTTTCCACGATGGTTGCCAGGACATTTACAAATTGTAAGAAATAGAATTGGCGCTGGTGGATCCTTGGAGGAGCTCATAGGGCACATCTCTTGGTTCAGAGTGTTGATTTTACTTTTTCGCTACCGCTCACGCAATAGAGAAAAAGTTATGTAATGCTGTATGAAAAAACAGCGAATTTTCATCAGAAAAACTCTTATTACAGGAAGCTGAAAATGCCGGTGCAAAGTCTTTACTTCAACAAAACTATTTAGACAGCCATTGGGACAATGTGGTAATGGATCTTCTGAGCTCCAAAAAGAACATTTAAAACTTCAACCCTTGCTGCACATTCAAGGTCACCTGTCAGTCCATGATGAGATTCATGGGAACCTTTAAGCGAAATGAGTCGCAGAGGGAAGTACACCACTTTCAAACAGCGTCGGCTGGATATTTTCCATCAAACAAAGGGCAAATCATGCTGAAAAATTTGCAAAATGCGATTAATGAAGAAAGCACAGACATTATCTCACGGTAGATCAATGATCAGAGGATTAAACTGCAACCTAGAGGAGGATGCCCGACGAAATTTTCTGATCGAAAAGAGAATTCATAGCGAGAGTAATAAAGAAGGAATAAAAAAGGACTAAATTAAGAGCTGAAAGAAGAAAACATGCAACCTTGAAGCTTGGAGGAGAAAATGGTGTGGGGCTGCATGTCAGTCAGTGGTGATGGTGAACGTGTGTTCATAGACCAAAAGATGAAGACTAGCTTGACATTCTTCAACAAAATTTAAAACAAAGTGCTGAAAATCCTGCTATTATTGATAAATTTTACTTTTATCAGAATAATGATCCCTAGCATAACAAACTAATAAATAAACCTCCGCATCCACCCCCCTCAGACCTTACTGTTAGATCTTTGGGAAAAATTGGAAAATGAGATAAGAAAATACCCAATTCATTCCAAGTAAGAATTGAAGCAAATAATACATTAAAGGAGAAAAGTCTCCTTACCCCCAAAACTTGGTACAAACTGTTGGAGTTATCGACGGGGCGATACAATCCCATCGATCTGCCGAGCAATCGACCGACGCTGTGTTCTCTTTCACTAGAGCAGTACTGTGTCTATGATCGTCGAGGAGAGCACGTGTGGCTTGGTGTGTGTTAACCGTGCGTTGTGTGTCACGAGGTGTAATTCGCCTGTAAACAGGGAAAGGATCTGTGTGTCGGCAGACTGGGGTGCTATCTGTCCATAATTCCAACAGGTTATGGACCCAGAGTAACGCGAATAGATACGCGAGGACTGTTTGAGCACATGCGCGAAGTCAGGTTATCGTTTTCTTTTCTTTTGTTTTAAAACACGTACGCCGAGAAAATGAATACGTCCAGTGTAAGGTTTGAAACTTTGAGTAAGGAAAACTCTTGCACCTGGAAGATACAGATGCGCGCAACACTGATAAAGAACGATGCCTGGGGTTACGTGAATGACACGAAAGTGAAGCCGGAAGCAACAGGAACCAACGCCGACGCCATCGAACAGTGGATGGAAGTCGACTTGAAGGCACAGTCAGACATCATCCTTGCCATAAGCCCGACCGAAATAAAGCAGATTAAGGGATGCGAGACGTCGCAGGCGGTGTGGAGAAAACTAGAGGGAATCTACCAGTCAAAAGGCCCTGCCCGAAAAGCCGCGCTCCTAAATGAGTTTATCTCTATGAGAATGCAAGATGGCGACGACGCGCGAGAATTCGCTCGTGCATTCTTCGACGTAGTGGACAAGCTGTCGGACATGGAAGTGAACAACCACCAAAACCTGCTGATGGTAATCCTGCTACGAAATTTGCCCGACAGTTTCGACGACTTTCGATGCGCGATAGCTTGCCGACGCCCAATGTCCTGCGAATCAAAATCGGAGAAGAGTTCGATTCGCGGAAGGACGCCAGGAGAAGTGCAAGTCAAAGCGCGATGGTTGCCGGGAAATTCGGGGGAGGCAGGTCGAGGAATCGCATGAATGGCGAGAAGTCGGAAAGGGATTCCAGGATGCTGTGCAAGTGCTGTGTGCTCGGAAATTAGCCGTAGAACGAGGACTGGCTAGAAGGGTGTAAGACCCGAAAATTCAGCAGACCGCTAGTGGTGTCGACGAACACACCAGAGGTGAGTTTCCGTACCGGCAGCTGCGAGGGCCGAACGCATGGTGCATCGATGGTGGATGTAGCCTCTTTCAAGGCTATCGACGATACAGGGCCTGGAAAACTGGCCAACAACGCGTGCACGGAAACGAGGGAAAAGGGCTGTTTCAGCGAGGGCAGAAGTGGGAACGGGAGCGTGAAGGTGATCAACCTTCAAAATACACTGTGTGTCCGATCTGCGCACGAACTTGATGTCGGTGAGCAAGATAACGGACAATGGGAACAGTGTCCTTTTCCGGAAGACAAAAAGGACCGAGGTTTTAGATGGCGACGGGAAGGTGCTGCTCACTGCGAGAACCTCTACTCCTTCCGTGTACAAGAGAATGGTGAGTGCGCGAAGATTGCCGAGGACGAAGGCGTGCGGAAGGGACCGAAAAGCAATTCCCTTGAAGGCTGGCACATCCACCTCGGACGTTTGAACGTTCCGGATTTACGTGATGCTGTAAAGAATGGACATCTGCCAAGACAAACCCTGCATTCGATGTCTTGGTCGATGGTGGCAGGGGATGTCTGCAGGGGAAGATGTGTCGAACTCCGTTCCCTAAGGCTTCAGAACGTCGCGGGTGACGTGATTCATTCCGACGTATGTGGACCAATGCGCGTGACATCGTATGGGAAGAACAAATATTTCTACACATTCATTGACGACTGTTCGCGCTGACGTGAAGTAAAGTTTCAGAAGAGCAAAAGCGACGCAGTCAATGAATTTGATAGCTTCAGGGCCGCCATGGACACCCAGCAGGGGAAGAAAATAGTGTCTCCAGTCGGATTGTGGTCTGGAGTACAAGAACCGAGAGATCGACGAACTACTGAAGAGGCACGGCATCTCACGAAGGTTAGCGGCCCCGTACAATCCGGAGCAGAACGGTGTAGCCGAAAGAAAGAAGAGGACGCTGATGGACACAGCAAGGCGTTTGTTGATCGTCAGGGCTGCCCTGCTCTCTCTGGGCTGAGGCGGTGAACACAGCAAATTTCATCCGCAACCGATGTCCCTCGCGTAAACTAAACGGGCGGACACCCTATGGACTGTGGTTCGGGAGAGCACCAGAAGTGTCCGACTTCAAGCGATTTGGCTGTGAAGTCTTCGTCATGGACAGGTCACCCGGAAGAGGTAAGCTCGAGCCGCGCTCTAGAAAGGACATCTTTGTGGGCCTCAGTGCAGAGACTAAGGGCTGCAGAATCTGGATACCAGGTGAGGGGAAGGTCGAGGCGACCAGAGACGTCAAGTTCGTGTCACAGCCGCTTAGGAATCCAGCACCAAGCCTGAAGACTTCCGACCGCAGGAGCACCATGCTGAAAAGGTCCCAGGGCTGCTGGGGAGGGAAGAGGTGAATGCCGATGCAAGTGCTTTCATGGAGTTGAACCTCGTCCGGGATCCTCCTGCATGTCCGGGTCGGAACAGCAGACATAGGGAGGCAGTAGAGGAATTAGATGGCGAGGATTTCCGAAGTCACGAGCGATTCAGACGGCGAAGATTTTCGCGGATTCGCGCCAGAGACTGTGGTCTGGCGGCTACCCGGAAGACCTCACAAGATCTACACAGGACAGCCAGGAAGATCACGAGTTGTAATCTGCCTGTAAACAGGAAAGGATCTCTGTGTCGACAGACTGGGATGTGAGCTGTCCATAATTCCAACACAAACTTTGGTTGAATTAAGCATTTAAATAGAGTTAAAGTGAAGGTGAAAATGAGAACTGGTTCCTTATGTATTAAAATGTTTTATGAATTTTGATGAAATATACAAATTTCATAATTTATAATAATTAACATTAATTTTCCTATTTACATTAAAAAAATATTTCTAGACAGTTTCTGCTCTGTGTAAACAGAAATTCAGCATTTTACATTTTCGTCTTCTGTTTCTTCAAGTATTTTCTTTATCTAAAACAGAAATATGGCTATTTTCAGTATTTACGAAAAAAATAATCAATAATGTAAATTCACAAATGAAGTGTACACAGGAAAACAATCTAAGCTCATCTCAAGCCTATTTTCCAATTCTATAGCCATCTTAATGTACAAAGGATACACAGTTATCAACCCAAAAATAACACACCTGGAAACATTTGTTTCCATTTAATTTTGGATTTTTTTCTTTTTTTTCTTTCACATTAAAAAAGAATGATCAAAGTCCATTGTCACCCTCAAAGAATGATCAGTATCCATTTCGCTTACATCTTCACATCAATTCACTACTTGCAATTTGGAGACTTTGTATAATTTTTTAATATCCATTTCAAATAACAGCATGCAGTTACTTGGACAAGGCAGTGTTAGCAAAGACAATATTTTCAAATGGGCAGAAAAGGCTCATGAAAAGTCCTGATCCAAACTAGAAAAAACTGGTATATTTCAGACACATTTAAACTTGAGTGAAACATACAATGCGTAGATCTACAAAGAGACATGATCACGCAAAATATGATTTTTTCTAGTTACACAATTCAAAGGGGGATAAATGATAAGACAATTTTTTTTGTTATATAACAGACTGCAGTGAGTGCACAGAATAACAAGGACACTTGGTTCAATTTTAATCTATTGTCTGATTAAAATTTCTGACTACTTGGCAGTTAGCATCTGAAGGTGTCTTCTCTCTTATATCTTTTGCATACACACTATGCACTTTCTTTTCAAAAAATGAGTCTCGCTGGACTTTCTTTTCATCTGCTTTGTGTGTGTTGTCCAAAATTGTTTCTTTATTCCTTTGATTGACGGTATTAGCATAGGCATAAATAAAAGGAAGACTGCAGCGCAACTGTACTTCACGGAATAAAGAAGTGTCATTATTACAATTTGTTATTCAACTACAATAAGTAGGATGTGCATGCTTCAACAGCTAAATTGATGCAAGAACATCTGCTGCCCAAGGAAGTGACAACGTAGCTCTCCCCACCCTCAAACGTTAATCATAACTAGTATATAATTAGGGTAAAAAAATCAGGCCTCCCAGAACATTGTGGACAGATGTTGCAGAAGCAACTGATGTATCCGAGCCATGTTGGCTGGTTAACATTGTTGGTAGGAATCAGCTACGCAGATTTTGATGCGACAAATAGAGGCAAGTTAATACTGAACTTTGATCCCCCCCTTATATTTTATGTCTTTTTGTAAAAATGTATTTTCTTCACTGTTTTACAATAAAGAATTGTAAATTGTCCAAAACTAAAACGATAAAAGTAATTTGAACTAATATTTTCTTATATTACTCCGAATTACTACTAAAAATTTAGCTCCGATTATACACATAAACTTTCAAAATCTATTTACTCAAAATCTTTGAAAATGGACTGAGGTTGTTATTCCTGCATACCACTGAAATAATACGTACATTTAAAAGTACATAATAATCTTCAATGTCTTCTAACTTATGTAGTACTTCACTAATACTGGAATTATTCAAAATTTTCTGAAAACAAAATCAAAATAAAATTAAAACATTTGGAATACACATTAAATAATTATACATTTGTACAAGCCTCAATTTGCACATCTTTTAGAATTGGGTTAAATTGTTACCTTTTTGAGGAGCTTAACTTGCTCACTACTTGCCAAAGGAAGCATCATTGCTGCCCAGTGAGGAGAACCAAACTGACAACAAAATTGACCCATTTGAACTAAATCTATTTGATCTGTAACTTGACACTTGTAAAGTAATTTGAAGCTATTCAAACACCATTTTCTTTGATCTTCTGACAAAGGTATACTACCTAAAATATTAAAAACAAAAAACATGCATCAAAATCACAAACACTGGATTCTGTTTAGTAAGATTTAAATATTCTTCACAACTTACAAGAGCGAAATGGAAGAAAGAAAACATACGTCCATGCTTCAACAATGCCTGTAGTACTAGGGGGTAACTTCCCTAAAACTTCTTCAAGATCTTCAGACTACATAAATAAGAGAAAGTGAAATAAATTAAGGCAAGAATCGACAAAAGAAATACAATTAAACTGGATCATAGAAATTAAAATTACATATGGTTTGAATCATGAAAATATATGAAAACGAGAAGTGACACTGCAGTAATGCCTGTAATTATTTATCTCCTATATTATTTTACTATTGATTAACCTTCAAATGCTTTTGTTTATAAAAATGAAAACTTTTTTCAATTGCTATGTTTATCACATTACTCTTGTACCATTGATTTTGAACTAATTGTGCCACATGAAACAGTGCTGCGCACATTCTGACTTGCATTTTCTCTCCAGGTGTTTAGAATATGATATATCTACATTGTACAGCATGCCAACAAATATTTGAATTAATTAAAGCTGACTTACCATGCATCCCTGTACCATGTTTTTCAAAAGCTGTTCCCATATATCAGAATCAAATACTTGGAATCTCAGAGCAATCTGGGCAGCCAGTGACAAAACAGGTCTATTCTTTTGACCACTACTAAGAAGTTCCATTACCAAGTCATATTTCTTGCAGTTAACAAATTGCGAAACAGTCATTATATAACCTAATGAATCTAAGTCACTTACAAACTGAAGTACATTCAGATGTTCACTATAAATAATAAAAATTAAAAAAAGAATTCTCAATAAATACAAAATATAGATGCACATCACATAACTATATCATAATGGACATTACCGTATACTGTCAGGTGCTTTACCACACAAGTTAGAGACTTCTTCCATTGACAATGTGCTCATTATACAAGTTAAAGCATTCCGTTTGAATTGTATACTCCTTTCTTTTCCATTTCCAAAGATCACTTCCAAAAGCGTTACTAATAAAGCATCAGAATCATGTTTACTCAATAAATATGATGCTCTGAAAATGGTAAAAGACATATCAGTTGGATACAAAATTTCATTTACAATAATTTTTTAAAAGGCAATGTTACCTCGTAAAGTTTTCTATTTCATTTTGTTCATAATCACGAAGGGTTTGAAGATTCCCTTGAATTGTAATTGTCTCGTCAAATTTGTCACCTGTTAAATTAGAAGGTGCCAACCACTGTTCTAATAATTTTAATAATAACTCCTTCCACCTTATTCCATCATGTATTCTGCTTATTTCATTAACAGCGCTGTTGATATCTGAAAGGCCACATTAAAACTAAAAAACGCGAGAAAAGACAGTGATCTCTAGTGAACATAACCATTAAATATTTTGATGAAGAGTGTTTCTTTTGAAATTCACTTTATATCCTGAGTTGAAAATTCTTTGAATTTTCCAAGGTTACGATATTAAAACTGGTTCATAAAATCTTCTTTTGTTTTTAACTATCTAGAACTTAAAATTATTCGTTCCTCTTGATCACAAAGTCAAATCCCGGGACATCATTTTCGTTTCTTAATATTCCTCATCCTTTCATTATATCTGCTTTACATTTTATCCCCCTAAAGTTGGTAATTTCAACATTACACTGTATCAAATTATATTAATGGTTAAGTGTATTCTTTTGAAATTTATATTTCAATTTAGTGGTGCTGCATATCATTAGGTAACAAGTATTCCGATTGATTGTTATCTCAGTTCATTTTTTGCTGAAATTGCCATGCAATGATAGGAAGATTTGTTATTTAGACATTTCTATCATGCCAAAGTAACTCACTGCAGCCTATAGGATTTACAAAAAGCTTTGTATCTCGTATCTTAAATATTTTTATTAGAAACTACATAATTATAAACAATCGGTTCTACAATGCTGTGTAGAACAACAGTGTAGTGCCCTAAAAATCTCTTTTTAACTTTCACATTTCCTACTAACCTCACACAATTTATTACCATTGTTATGCTGTACTTCAATAGTCGTAATTGGTAAAATGACTTATGAAAACTTGCAATTGTTAGGTTGGCAACAGATTTCAACAAGTGAAGTACTCATTCGACATACTCAACTTTGGCCTTATCTTATTCTCAACATTTTCTTCAGCATTTCCCCAGGAATAGTAGTTTAATATAAGTGACTTTTTAATACAAATTATTTTTCTTACAAATAAAAATATTTTAATGCACATACCTGGGCTTTTGATGGCTTGATTTGTATTTACAATATCTGGGTGTGCATAGAGTTCTTTCACTAGGACATCTGGTTTAGAAATCTTTTCCAAGTAGCAGGGATTATTAATTCCATATTTATAAAGTATATTTGATGTAGATATGTCCAGGTAAGTTTGAGTTGCATTTCTCATAATTTGTTCAGCTTCATTTGTCTTAACTGAAGCTGCCCATTTTTTAGCAAAGTCACTATATAACTTTGCCAGCTGTCCTTTAGGTGCTCCTAATTGTCAAAAAATGTTTATTGCAAATTTTAATTAAAACTTACTATCAAATCAGAATGAGCTAACAAAACAAAGATTGAAATTTCTGAATTTCTTCCTAGCAAGTTTGTACCACCTTGATGAAATTCCACTTGTCTTCATGTCAAAAAGGATTTATAAATGAAAAGCACCCCACCTGTAACATTATTCTCTGTCAATGGAGATGTGAATACTATTACTTAACTCATCTGACAATCCCGATCAATTTGCAAAACAATTTGGCATATTTTCAATTCACAAATTCAATAGTGTTTACAAATTGCTAAAAACGTGCATATCAACGCATGATCTTTTAAAAAAATAGTAAGACTGTAAGACTGAAAATGGCGTTTGAGCGTTTCTGAAAATTCAGAATTTAGAGCTAGTTATCACAGAAAATGGTTGAGTTTTTGAGACTTTATCTAACATTATTTAAAGCACACGTACTCATAAATTCAATAATATGAACAAATTGCTACTAGTATAATTATTAATGATAAGAGACACAAGTCAAAATCAAAGGAAAAGGAGGAGACCGGGAGGAGATAGGAGAAGAGAGAGGGAGAGGAGAGAAATCGATTAACGGTAAAAAGTCCGCCGTCCGGTGCATGTGAGTAACTGGGGTGGTTTATTCCAAACTGAATAAACCACTGTTGATGTCCAAATTTTCCTTTAAATTTCTTGCCAGAATAGAGTAAAATACATTTATAAAGGTGGCATACGTCCTGATTTTACTGGTAACTCTAAATGTTCGATAATTGAAAAAAAAAAAAAAATCGAATTTTTCAATGTAGAGAGTCGGGCAAAAAGATATATGATATATTTTTTTCAATTATCGAACATTTAGAGTTACCAGTAAAATCAGGTCGTATGCACCCTTTATAAATGTATTTTACTCTATTCTGGAAGAAATTTAAAGGAAAATTGACATCAACAGTGGTTTATTAGTTTTGAATAAACCACACAGTTGCTCACTTGCACCGGACGGGGACTTTTACCGTTAATCGATTTCTCTCCTCTCCCTCCCCTCTCCCTCTCCTCCTATTTCCTCCGCTCTCCTCTCTCTCCTTCCGGTCCCTCCCTTCCTCTCTCTCTTCTCTCTCTCTTCTCTCTTCCGCTCTCTCTCCTCCCGCTCTCTCTTCTCTCCACCCGCTCTCCCGCTCTCTCTCCTCCGCTCGTCTCTTTCCCTCTCTCTCTCTCCACCCGCTCTCATCTCTTTCCTCTCGCTCTCCTCCTCTCGCTCTCCTCTCCCTCCTCTCGCTCTCCTCCTCCCTTCCTCTCACTTCCTCTCACTCCTCTCACTCTCGCTCTCGCTCTCTCCTCTCAGCTCCTCTCACTCTCCTCTCGCTCTCTCTCCTCTCGCTCTCCTCTCCTCTCGCTCCTCTCCTCTTCGCTCTCCTCTCCCTCCTCTCGCTGTCTCCTCTCCCTCCTCTCGCTCTCCTCCCCTCCTCTCGCTCTCCTCTCCCTCCTCTCGCTCTCCTCTCCCGCTCTCCTCTCCCCTCTCGCTCTCCCTGCCCTCCTCTCCTCGTCGCCTCCTGCTCGCTCTCCTCTCTCCCTCGCTCTGCTTCTCTCTCTCCTCGCCTCTCCTCTCCTTCTCCTCTCCTCTCCTCTCCTCGCTCTCCTCTCCTTCTCCTCTCCCTCCTCTCGCTCTCCACTCTCCCTCCCTCGCTCTCTCGCGTCTCCTCTCCCTCTCTCGTTCTCCTCTCTGGCTCTCGCTCTCCCGCCTTCTCCGCTCTCCTCTCCATCCTCTCGCTCTCTCTCCCTCTCTCGGCCCTCTGCCACTCCCTTCCTCTTCGCTCTACCTCTCCCTTCCCCTGCTCCTCTCCTTCCTCTCTCTTTCCCGGTTCCTCTTCCTCTCCCAGTTCCTCTCCTCTCTCTCCCTCTCCTCTCCCTCCCTCTCCTCTCTCTTCCCTCCCTCTCCTTCTCCTCTCTCCCTCCTATCTCCCTCCTCTCCTCTCCAAAACGTCCGTCCATCGTCCATCTAGTGACCGCCTGTTAAACCGTGCATAGGATATTTTCCGAAATTGAAGAAACCCCCGTCCATTCTGGCTTGAGTGAATCTTTGAATCTAGAACCCTTCGGACATTGTTCAAATTTTCTTAATAAACGTATTCAATTTTTTCCTTTAATTTCTAGTGCAGAATAGGATAACAGTACACCTATAAATGTTGAGATAGATCCGAATTCTAACGGTAACTTTTGAATCTGAAAATTTCAAAATATTAATTTTATCTAGGTGTCTTCCCTGAATTAATGAAAATAAAGAGATGATTTTCCCCCTTCAATAAAAATTGCCTCTGCATACTGAAGTTCTTAATAAAAGTTGTTTTTTTAAATTTAGTCGTTATTCGTACAATAGTTGCCGTTGGCAATTTATTGCAATTTTAAAGAAATTTACAAAAAATAGTTTTCGTCGAACTGTTCCAAGATTTTTCTTTAAACTTTTGTAGAAGCATTAGGAAGCTGTGACCTCTATAAAAATGACATAAATGCGCATTTTGATTCCTTCAAGAAATCACAAATATGCAATGATTTTGGACTTGGTCTCTTATCATTGAATAATTATTTACTAGTAGCAAATTTGTGTCATATTATTGAAATTTATGAGTACGTTTGTTTAAAATAATGTTAGATAAAGTCTCTCAAAAAAAACCCAACCGTTTTCTGTGATAACTAGCTCTTAAATTCTGAATTTCAGAAACGCTTCAAACGCTATTTTCAGTCTTACAGTCTTACTAGTTTTTTTAAAAGATCATGCGTTATATGCCACGCGTTTTAGCAATTTTAAACACTATTAATTTGTGAATCTTGTAAAATATGCAAATTGTTGCAATTGATCGGGATGCAAGATGAGGTTAAGTGAAATATATTCACATCTCCCATTGACAAAAGGAGAATAATTACAGGTGGGTGGCTTTTCATTTATAAATCCTTGTTGACATGAAGAAAAAGTGAATTTCATCAGAGTGGTACAAACTCTAGGAAGGAAATTCAAGAAAATTTCGAATCTTTTTTTTGTTAGCTCATTCTGATTTGATAGTAAGTTTTTAATTAAATTTGCAATAAACATTTTTTGACAATTAGAGCACCTAAAGGACAGCTGTGCAAAGTTATATAGTGACTTTGCTAAAAAATGGGCACTATCAAAAGCACAAGATGCAAGCTGAACAACATATGAGAGAATGGGCCAACTCAAAAGTACCTGGACATATCTTACATTCAATATACTTTTTAAATATGGAATTAATGAATCCCTGCTTACTGGAAAAAAATTTCTTAAACCAATGTCCTAGTGAAGAGAACTCTATGCACCACCGATATTGTAAATAGCGAAATCCAAGCCATCAAAACCCAGGTATGTGCAATTAAAATATTTTTATTGAAAAATATAATTCTAATAAAAAGTACTTATATTAAACTACTATTCCTGGGAAATGCTGAAAAAATGTTAGAATAAATAAGGCCAAAGTTGAGTTATTCGAATGCGTTTGACTTCACTTGTTGAAATCTTTGCCAACCTAACAATGCAAGTTTTCATTAAGTGCATTTTACCAATTACGCTATGAATACAGCATAACAATGGTAATAAATGTTGTGAGTTAGTAGGAAATGTGAAAGTTTTAAAAAGAGATTTTTTAGGCACTACACTGTCTCTACACAGCATTTAGAACCGATTGTTTTATTAAATTATTGTAGGTCAATAAAAACATTTAAAAGGATATGAGATACAAAGCTTTTTGTAAGATCCTATAGGCTGCAGGATTACTTTGGCAGTGATAGAAATGTCTATAATAACCAAAATCTTCTATCATTGCATGCAATTTTCAGCAAAAAAATGAACTGAGATAAACAATCAATCGGGAATACTTGTACCAATGATATGCAGCACCACTAAATGAATATAAATTCAAAAAATACACCTAACCGATTAATTAATTTGATACAGTTTAATGCTTGAAAATTACCCAACTTTAAGGGGATTAAAATGCAAAAAAGCAGTATAATGAAAGGATGAGAATATAAGAAACGAAAATAAATGTCCAGGATATGACTTGTATCAAGAGGAACAATAATTTTAAGTTCTAGATAGTTAAAACAAAAGAAGATTTTATGAACCAGTTTAATATGGAATTCAAGAAAAATTTGATAAATGAGTATAGAATGTACAGTTAGAGGAAACAACAGTTCTCTAAAGGAAAAATCTACTTTATGTGTCTTTAGTAACCCTTGAGTATAACCAGATGTGCTTGATGTGTCAAAACACTAAAGTGATTTTGATGTTACCATCTCAGTCTTATGAATTTTTTAAGACTTTGCACGTATACTGCTGATTTAACAGGATATATTTGTCAGTATTCGATGAACAGGAATTTTGACTTTGAGTTTATAATTATTTTATCGCAAAAACACCTCTCTTATCACAACCTAAATACGCGATTTTTTGTTTTTTTTTTTTTTTTTTTTTTTTTTTTTTTTTTTCAAAAAAAACTTTCTAGCTTCAATCTAAATAGGAAAGCATATGCATATTACACGGTGAAAAAAAATAAGAGGTTTTTGTTTAAAATCTAATTTAAAAAGAATCAACAACTGACTGTCTTAAGTTTTCATTCAGTTTTTTTGCATACCATATGAGGAGACTCAAATCTTTGACAGTGGAAATAACGGATACAAATTTTCACCATTGTAATAGGAGTGGACTTTTTTTCCTATCATGAGTTTAATAACTTTGTCGTGTGGAGTGATCATGTCAGTTAATTCCAAAAAGCCTCCGTTCGTGTGTATAATATATACCAATTCAAACAATCCTAAATGTTAAGTCCAAATGTTGTACAGCTTGGAGTTTTAATTGTATTTAAGAATGAAATATTATGGGTCTGCTGTTAAAGCCTACTTTGATTCTTAGTCATTCACAGACAGTATTAAAGCCTTTTAGATATAAAACAATTGTTAGTGTACTATAAAAATACTTTAAGTATTAATT